CCACTATATGCACAGAAACTGGATCAATCTAAGGTAAAGATCCTGACGTATGGAGTCAGATCTGATGAGTTCATCAGGTTTGAGGGTCTAAAACTGGACCTTGTTACCTGCGGCAGGCGTGGGCCGTTTGGCAAATCCATGCCTTGTCGACTGCTTCTCGAACATCAGCTCACTGCGGGACTTGATGCTGTAGTACTCCTCAGCAGCCGCGATGTACCCCACCGAACTGGACCGCCGGGGCAATGCTCCGTCCCACATGGGCTCATCGTCCGCAGGTTTGGACATCCTCAGGATTCGGGGTAACCGCTCCAGGAAGACCTGCACAGAAACACAAACAACCTGAGGCTAACTGGCTCTGGAATAATGTGGTGTTGTAGTTCTCATGGTACCCTCTTGGTCCAGTCCGTCATGACGTGTGTGCTTGGAGTCCGGAAATGCAGATTGAGGACCACGACACAGTTCAACACAACCACCGTAACCAGAACCATGATGAACATCAGATACCTGAGAGACAGACACAGACTCTTAGGATCTTTCAAACTGGTTTTGGTTCTCAGATGGATCAGCTTGAATAAACATCTCAAAAACTCAGCAGAATCCATTTTAAAAAGAACAAATGTTTTTTCTCAAAATGTGTTCTCCCAGTGGTTCAACCCATGCTGTACCTCTGATGATCTCATTCCTAATCTTATCCATCCTCCCAATGAGAACCTCAAGACTTTCAGGTCCGACACATCCAGTTCTGTCTCCTGTTTTGAGTTACCTACTTGACTATAAGTGGGACAGACGTGGATGTCTCCGGCAGCCTTTGAGAGATCAGCAGCAGAAAAACAGACTGAGCCAGAAGCACAGAGATGGACARGGTCATCTTCTCCCCACCTGAACACAAAAACACTCTTTAAAAYAAAGCCWWCAAAGTCCAGTTCTGMACAGGTCYGGTTACTRACTGTCGGCGGGCARGTAGTAGACCAGCGAGGCCAGGAAGGAGATGAGGACACAGGGGATGATGATGTTGACGATGTAGAAGAGAGGTTTGCGTTTGATGATCAGRTAGAAGGTGATGTCCTGGTGCTTGTTGCTCTCCTTGGGAATGTGACGGTAGGTGTTCTTCTTGGCCGGCCGGTGGATGATCTCCCACTCACCGTTCTCTGCAGACACGAACACGGATTTAGACCATTGAGGCTTCACTAATCCTTTCCAGGACCACAATGGACCTAGATTAAAGCTGCATTTTAACAACCAGAGCTTTTTGGTTTTCTTCTAAAAAGGCAGTGGCTCTTGATGTGAATTTCCCTAAAGGGGTTGTTTCGTCATAGGTTCAAAATGGCTACAAGTCGATTGGTTTTACTGGTATTGAGCTGAAACTTGGTATGGTAGCAGCTGAAACTGATCTCCAACACATCAATCTATTCTAATCATAAGATATTATTGGTTTAAWGTTTAAGTATTAAATATGAAGTGTTACCCGTGAAGCCTTCAGGATCGATAATGATCCACTCCACCGTGTYGTTTCCTTCTTGTTTCAACATCATCTTGATCTCTCTGGCATTGTATGTCAAAGAGCTAAAACCAAAAAAAAAAAAAACAACAGCTCAAAGCTTATGAAAAAAAAAAAAACAACAGCTCAAAGCTTATGTCTTAGCCAAAACAGTAATTAAACAGTAGGTAAATCCAAAAACTTTAAGACCCTTATGATGAGTAACAATAAAGGWTTCAGCGTTCCCTCGCCTGGACGCGGTTAACTGGGTCCCACCCTGGAGCCAGACTTGGAGGAGGGACATGTTAGCGAGTGCCTGGTGGCYGGGTTTTTRYCCATGGAACCTAGCCAGGCAYAGCTTGAAGAGGAGACATGGKTCCCCCTTCCCATGGGTTCRCCACCTGTGGGAGGGGCTGTAGGGKTTGGGTGCATTGTGCAATGGGCAGTGATCGAGGGCTAGGACACTGGCGGTYCGATCCTTGGCTACAAAAGCGGGCTCTAGGGACATGGAATGTCACCTCTCTAGTGGGGAAGGAGCCTGAGCTGGTGTGTGAGGTTGAGAGSTTCCAACTAGATATAGTTGGACTCACCTCGATGCACCGCTCTGGCTCTGGAACCAGTCTCCTCGAGAGGGGTTGGACACTCTTCCACTCTGGAGCTGCCCATGCTGAGAGGCGCCAAGTAGGAGTGGGCATACTTATTGCCTCACAACTCGGTGCCTGTACACCCCGGTGAACGAGATGGTAGCCTCCCCCTGCCTATGTGTGGGGGGATGGGTCCTGACTGTTGTTTGTGCCTATGTGCCTAACAGCAGTTCAGATTACCCACCCTTTTTGGAGTCCTTGGAGGGGGTGCTAAAATGTGCTTCTGACGGGGACTCCCTCRTCTTTCTGGGGGACTTCAACACTCATGTGGGTAATGACAGTGAGACCTGGAGGGGCGTGGTTGGGAGGAACGGCCCCCCAATCCAAACCTGAGCAGTGTTTTGTTATTGGACTTCTGTGTCATGGATTGTCCATAACAAACACCATGTTCAAACATAAGGGTGTCCATATGTGCTCTTGGCACCAGGACACCCTAGGCCGCAGTTCGATGATCAATTTTGTGGTCGTTTCATCAGTTCTGCAGCCGCATGTCTTGGGCACTCCGGTGAAGAGAAGGGCGGAGCTGTCAACTGACCACTACCTAATGGTGAGTTGGCTGGTGGACATCGGCGGTGAGGGATGCTGTCAGGCTGAAGAAGGAGTCCTATCAGGTCTATTTGGCCTGCAGGACTCCAGAAGCAGCTGATGGGTATCTGCAGTCCAAGCCGATTGTGGCTCGGGTGGTCGCTGAGGCAAAAACTCTGGCATGGGAGGAGTTCGGAGAGGCCATGGAAAAAGACTTCCGTACAGCTGTGAGGAGATTCTGGTCCACCATCTGGCATCTCGGGGGGGCGGGGGGGTTTTGCCACCAACACTGTTTATGGTAGGGATGGTGCGCTTCTGACCTCAACTTGGGACGTTGTGGGTCGGTGGGCAGAATATATCCAAGACCTCCTCAATCCCACAACACGTCTTTCCATGAGGAAGCAGAGCCTGGGGACCCTGGATCAGACTCTCCAATCTCTGATGCTGAGGTCACYGAGGTGGTTAAAAWGCTCCTCAGTGGCAGGGCACCRGGGGTGGATGAGATTTGTCTGGAGTTCCTCAGGGCCCTGGATGCTGTGGGGTTGTGTTGATTGAWGTGACTCTACATTATTGCGTGGGGGTACTCCGGAAGTATGGGGTAMCAGGCCCGTTGATAGTGGCTGTTAGGTCCCTGTACGACCGGTGTCAAAGTTTGGWCCACGTTGCCAGTAGTARGACGGACTCGTTCCGATGAGAGTTGGACACCGCCAAGTTTGCCCTTTGTCACCAATTCTGTTCATAACTTTTATGGACAGAATTTCTAGGCAAAGCCAAGGTGTTGAGGGGAYCCTTTTTGCTGACCTTAGGATCACATCTCTGCTTTTCGTGGATGATGTGGTCCTATTGGCTTCATTAGATCGTGATCTCCAGCTCTCAATGGAAAGGTTCACAGCCGAGTGTGAAGCAGCCGGGMTGAGGATAATTGCCTCCAAATCTGAGACCATGGTCTTAAGCCAAAAAAGATGCAGCCAGGTCGGGGATGAGGTACTGCCCCAAGTGGAGGATTTCAAGTATCTTGGGGTCTTGTTCACAAATGAGGGAAAAATAGAGTGGGAGATCAACCGGCGGATTGGTGCTGTGTCTGCAGTGATGCAGGAACTGTACAGTACTGATCCGTTGTGCTGAAGCAAGAGCTGAGCCAGAAAGAGAAGCTCTCGATTTACCGGTCAGTCTACGTTCCTAGCCTCATCTATGGTCACGAGCTTTGGGTAGTGACCGAAAGAACAAGATCACAGATACAAACGTCAGAAATGAGTTTCCTCTGCAGAGTGTCTGGGCTCTCCCTTAAAGATAGGGTGAGAAGCTCAGTCATCCAGGAGGGACTCAGAGTAGAGCCGCTGCTCCTCCATGTCGAGAGGAGCCAGATGAGGAGGTTCATCTGGTTAGGATGCCTCCTGGACGCCTCCCTAGTGATGTGTTTCGGGCACGTCCCACTGGGAGGAGACCCAGAGGAAGACCCAGGACATGCTGGAGGGACTATATTTCTCAGCTGGCCTGGGACCACCGTGGGATTGCTGGCTCAAGTGGCTGGGGAGAGGGAAGTCTGGGTTTCTCTTCTTAGGCTGCTGCCCCCGTGACCCAAGCCCGGATAAGCGGAAGAAAATGGACGGACAGATGGACGGACTAAATACAAAAACTATCAAAACTATCAAAACAGTAGTTAAAAAGCTAAAACCATTTAAACAGTAACTAAAACCTTAAAACAAAGACAACAGTAGCTCTAGGCTAAAATTACCAGTAGGGTAGCTGAAAACTAAAAGCAGCAAAACATTAACTAAAAGTTCAAACTTTGGCCAAGACAATAACTAAAAGTTAAAAACAGCAAAACTACTTAAATCTTAAACCTAGCAAAAGAAGTTGGTTTGAATAATTTCCATCAAAACATATTTTGATTAAAATGGCCTAATAAATGTTTTGTAAAGTTTTTAACTTACGTGAATTTGAGCGTGCAGTTCTGCCAGTCGAAGGGGAAGTAATTGACATTGATAGAACAGGAAGAGTGGAAGATGGCCGGAGGTAACCAGTAGCAGGCACCTTCATGGTCTACCAGAACATTGGCGTAATAGGCCACCTCGAACTGGGCATCATTACTTAAGGAGGAGTCAACAGATTACACAATCTTTGTCACCAATTCTGTTCATAACTTTTATGGAGAGAATTTCTGAACCTTTTTTAACCAGAAAGGTCCCATTGAGAATAAAAAAACCTTTTTGAAGGAAGACTTGGCCAAG